GGACAATTTAGCTAAATAAACCAATGTCAGACATTATATGTTGACAGTATATACAACATTTCACACCTGCATCTCTTCAACAAAAGGTTTTCTCATTTGTGTGCTGGCCTTTATAATTACACAATGTTCAATTTAGCTTTATTGTTCTTCCTGTTTAACTGTTGTAATTATTATGTATACTGTTTTCCTATAGCAGTTTACTTCATTGCATCAGTTTATGTATTTTTCCATGCCTCTTGGAACTCTATATCCATCATTTCATAACACAATTTATTCATCCATTCCCAATTGATGGGCACCCACTTTGCTTCCAGTTTTCCTGTTTTCAGAAAAATGTTTTTGCTATAAATATTTTGGTCTATGTGCAATCCTTCTTTCTAACTTTGGCCTCTTTGGAATATGAGTTTAGCAGCGAGCTATGTCCCCCATATACCTTCTCAAATCATATCATATCCTGAGACACCAAACATTACTTGAGGAATAAAGATTGGGCCCATCACACATTCATGTCTCCATTTAACATCCCTATAAGGGCTGTTTTCAACCTTCTCCTCCTTTTCACAAATTCCATCTCTTCAAGAATAAAGGAAAAACAAGCAACAGCAACAACGTCACCCTACTGTGCTTTCTCTCAGCAGATGATTTCACAACCTATTTTACTGAGAACAGGTCAGTGACCATGAGTTCTGTCATTTCTCCTCCTCTTTTTCTTCAAAATCTTCTCTCTTCTTTTGCTCCAGTGCCAGAGGATAAAATAGTCTACCTCTATAGCAAATTAATGCCATCTACTTGCATCCTTGATCACCTACCTCCCTATTTTCTTTTTCATAATTCATATTCTCCTTCCCTCCCTTCCCTTTAACTTCTCCCTTTCCCTCACTTCAACTTTCATCTTCTATCTTTCCCTACTTTTCCTATTTGCATCCCCTACATAACAAGTTCAGGCCTTTTGTATACTTAAATTTTCATTCTCTTTGCCAATTCATGATGTTAGCATATATACATTATAATATATATATATGAATATATGTATGCATATATATGAATATATGTATATATGAATATATATATAGGTATGTATTTCTCTTTTCTTTTACTATTAATAATAATTACCAAACCTAAATATCCAGTAAATCTATGCACTGTATTTGAATCCCACATCACTGCTGCCCACTGTACATCTCTTGGTTATCTCTTGGGCCTCTCAAACATTTTGCTGTTGTTGTTCAGTTGTTTCAGTCATGTCTAGCTCTTCATGGCACCATTTCAGGTTTTCTTGGCAAAGACACTGGAGTAATTTGCCATTTCCTTCCTCAGCTTATTTTACAAAGGATGAAACTGAGGCAAACAGGTTAAATGACTTACCCAGGGTCTTATAGCTAGTAAGTGTCTGAGGCCAGATTTGAACTCAGGAATATGAGTTTTCCTGACTTCAGGCCCAGAGCTCTATTCAATGCATCATCAACTGCCTATCTCAAGCATAATATATCCAAGAATGAGCTCATCTTGTTCCCTCTTTCCTCTCAACTTCCCTATTTTTGGTGAGAGCATTGCCATCCTACTAGTCATCCAACTTCAAAACTTTAAAATATTCTTTGAGCCCTCCCTCTCCTTCAGCTAGCACATCCAATCAGCTGCCAATTCTTGTCCATTCTACCTCCAAATACCTATCATATTCATCCCTTCTTTTTTCATTCATGCTAAGACTACCTGAGTTCAAGCCCATATCACATTTTCCTCAACTATTGTAATAACCTAGTAACTGGTTTTGCTTGTGGGTTTCCCCTTTTTCAATGCGTCTCTTGACAATCCTGACAAAGTAATCTTCACAGTTTATAGGTTTTGATCACCCCTTTGCAAAAACCTTCTGTGACTCCCAACTGCTTTTGGGATAAAAGATAAGCTCTTCAGTCTGTCTTCTAAAGCTCTAATCTACATTCTCAGCCCAATTTCACTTTTTCTTCATACTTTCCAACTAAACTGGACTGTTTACCAATATTCAACATCTATTAAACTTACGTCAGACTAAACATGCCATCTCTTCAAGGATCCTTCCCAAATCCCCTCATCTGAACATGTTCTGATCCTACTCAAAATTTTCTAGAGCACATTTGGATCTCTTTTTTGCCCTACTTTGTGTTATGTACCTATTGTGCATATAACATTTTTGCTCATCTTTACATACAGTATTAGTTCCTGGAAAATAGCTGGGTCTTATTTATCATTGGCTCCCTATCACAGTACTTAATTAATGTTAAAAATGTGTATTGAATTGAATTCAGTTAAGGTACTATCTACTCTTTAAACAAACAAACAAACAAATTGACTTTGTGTAGGATAACATTATTGGAATTATCAATTATTAACTCTTTCATAAAATTAGTTCATCAAATTTCAAAAGTTTTTGAAAATATCTCTCATGCTGCACTATCCTTGTGGGTAGCATAGAAAGGTATGGGCCTGATAGTCAAGTTTAGGTTGACCTGGATTTGTTGAGTGACAAGATGCATGAAGTAGTCACCAACTGAGAGATTAATTTGGGAAAAAGCCCCCATCACAGAGACTCAGATATCTGTGCTTCATCCTTTGCTATTTACCATTTTTATAAAAGTAGCAATATGATATAGTGGATGGAAAGCTGGTCATGGTATCAGGAAGACCTGGGTTTAAATCCCACCTTTGACCCATATTGGTGGTATGAACCTAGAAAGTCACTTATCCTCTCAGTGACCCTGGGCACTCTAAGAAAATAAAGTTGCAGAGATGGTGCTTATCTGTCATGAGAGAGGATGTTTCACATTGGAGAATTTCCCACACTGTTGAAATCACAACATGGTCAAAATTTTTCTTAAAAAGTCCATGTCTTAGGGGCAGCTAGGTGGCACAGTGGATAGAGCACTAGCCCTGAAGTCAGGAGGGCCTGAGTTTAAATCTGGCCTCAGACCAAACACTTGATTCTTACTAGCTGTGTGACCCTGGGCAAGTCACTTAACCCCAATTGCCTTAAAAAAAAAGTTTAAAAAAAAAGTCCATGTCTTGGGCTGCACTGACAGGCACAGTATCTAGTGTGTCCAGGGGCAACATAATGTGGCCCACAGTTTAGAAAGCCAATCTCAGAAAACCTAGTTTTGGTTTCCACTTCTGACTCATACTGATTGGGCAAGACACAATAGCCCAGACCACTCTCTTGGGCTATAAATTATAGAATCATTTGATCTGTATCAGTTAAGGGTGTTTCTTTACTAGGAATTCCCAATACCAGTGAAATCACAGATTTGGCCTAAAAGTGCTTAAAATAAGGGAAATGGAAGTCCTTTGACCTGCTCTAGTGAAATCACTTGTGGAGGACTGTGATAATTTCTGGACATGAAATCTTAAGAAAAACATCAAAAAATTGATAGGGAATCTTAAAAAATAGTGGGAAGCCACAAGGGACCACATGAGAATATGACATAACAGGAGAGACATTGTGAGGAGGAAGAAGAGCACAGATCAAGTGAGATTCCCTAAACCACTTTTTGCCTTGGGCTTACTGGAGGGTGGACAATCAGGCAAGACTAATTGGTGTCAATCAATACCATATAGAAGGATAGGGATAAGGAAATCATTTAACAATTCATTTCACCTGACAGTAAAATTGAACCCACTAATTTTGCTTAAAAAATGTACCCTGATTCAATAGCACCAGTTTCTACAACTCAGTTTGAGAAAAGATTCTATTGGGAAAATATAGTTCAGTTACCAAATATTATCAGTCTGTTGCCTCTATGAGTGATTTCTGCCAATTGTGGAGAGATGTGTAATGGTCAACCAGTACCTTACTCATAAAACTGTTTAAGGATTAACAAAGTACATGTCTTTAACATATCAGAACTGCAGTCTGACAGTAATTTCTATGCACAGGCAGAATATAAGATTCTGTGAGAGGGAAGGAGTTCAATACACCTGCCGTCTGCCAAAAAATCACTTTAAGATGTCCTATCATGGCCCCAGTATTACACTAATAGTAAGCCATAATTTGGTAGCCCAAATTATAGTGTTGAAGGGTGATTTTTGAAATACAATTTTTTTTGGCTCATTAAAATAATAAAAATGCATTTATTACAGTGCCTTGGTCTTTGACAATAATTGAAATGGAAAATCAAACACCATCTACATTTGCCTATCAGACATGATTATTCCCTATAGGGTTTGTCTTCTCACTGTTGTGGATAAAGGAAGTAGTCATGCACTTTTCTAGGTACTCTCCCATGCATTCAGTGGCAGCCCTTGGATAAGTGTCTCTGTGCTTATCCAACAATAATAGCACCTTCCAAGTATATAGTGTTTTACAGTTTTAAAGGCAATTATCCACCAAAGCCCATGCAACATGGCTAGAAAAGCTATTATTACCCGCACATTATGTGTGAAGAAACTGAGAATCAAAGCATGATATAGTAAACAAATTTGTTGGATTTAGAGTAAGGAAGACATGAGTTTCAAATCCTGCCTCACACAGTTGTTATGTGATCATGGGCAAGTCACTTCAGTTCTCTGAGCTTCAGTTTCCTCATCTGAAAAAATAGAATACTCATATCCATAGCCTTCCGGTGCATGGAAATTACTTTTCAAGCTTTAAAGTGTTATGGAAACATCAGTTATTTATGAACAGACTTGCCTAAGGTCGTATGTGCAGTAATTACTATGGATTCAAACTCCCATCTTCCAATCCTAGTCCAGATCTTTTCTACATTTTTACAAATATATTTAAGGTACAATAGAAAAAAAATGCCAGTGTCAATGGCCCTCATGGACCACAGGCTCCAGGGAGCATGTCTCTCCAGAAGTAAAATGTAAGACCTCTTCTACTTTAACATGAATCCTTAGATCTAACTATACTGGTTCAATGATTGATGTTGCAAGTGGGCTAGGTTCTGTTTTCCACTTGGGTAGTGCCCTTTATGACATGATCGACAAAAGAGGAGATAGAAAAAGAAGGAACTGAAGCCATTTGGTCTTACCGTTTTTGTCTGCTCTTCTCAGTATCTAGAAAGAAAAGGACATAATAGAATTACCACTTTTATAGGTGACATGATAAAGGATGTACTCAACCATAAGTTAAAGTATATTTCAGTCTGCTATTTTGAAACCCCCACTAATTCTAAATTTAGAGAAAGGCTTCTCACCTGGCATCAGAGACAAAAAAAAAGGCAGGAAAGAGGCCTATGGATATGTCAGATGACATCTTTAGTTCTTTGCATCATTCTGCTGCTCCCCCTAGTACCTAATTTAAAACATACTCTTCAAGGAAAATTCCCTGATGACCCAATATATGTTTATTCAGTTAATGCTGCATTTCTACTGTGCATATAAGATAAATCCCTATTTTTACGTAAGATGACTTTCAATCATGTGGAAACAATATTTGAAAATTATTTTCATAAAAATCTTTGGGGGGTCGACTTTTAAGCACCAATGGTTTTATTTAGAAACACTATCTTTTAGTAGCCAGACTGATGCTTAGCTCTGCCTCTGACTTGCTACCCTGAAATTAACCAATATTTCAAAATATTAAATTCAACAAATATGCACTAAAAATCAAATAGGTTCAAGGCATTGTATAAGAAGCTAAGCGTACAAATTTAGATACAAGACAGACTCTGCTTTCAAAGACTTTACAGCTTAAGTGGGAAGGGAGATATAAAGACACACAAATAACTATGATACAAGAGGGAAGGGTATGATAAAGTCTAGGAAAAGATCCATGAGAAAGTTGAAGAGTAAGAGATCACTTTAACTTAGCAGAGGTTAGGGTACAGGGGTTGAGGAGTAATGAAGAGAGATTCCTGGGAGAGGTGGCAACTAAAGAGGAAGAAGGGATGAAGAAAGAATTCGTAAGATCATATATTTAGAAATGGGGGGGTGCTTAAAAGTTATCTAGTCCAAATTGAGCAATCCAAGGCAGGGTGGTTAAATTATTTGCCCGATGTCACAAAGGTAACAAGTGACAGAGTAAGTATTTAAACATTTATTCTCTGACTTCAAATTCAGGACTCTTTTTTGAAAGAACCTCAGGGCCTTCAAAAAGGAAGACAAGGGAATAAACATTCATTAAGTACCTACTATATACTATGAAATAGGGAATAATATGATCATATCTGAACTTAAGCAAAATCACTTTAGCAGCTGTTTGGTGAATTGGTTGAAGTTGAGGAGAAATTCGAATTAGGGAGACCAAATAGGAGGCTATTATAGTAGTTTAGATGAGAGGTGATGAAGTCCTGAGGTAGAGTAAGACTATATAAGTATAGTGAAGTGGATAAGAGAGATTTTGCAGAGGTAAAAATGACAAGATTTGACAACTGGTCATAAATTGATGGGGAAGGAGTATAAGTGAGAGTGAGGAACTGAGAATGATGCCAAAGTTGCAAATCTTGGTGATTGGAAGGGTGGTGGTGTCTTCAACAGAAATAGAGGATCAGAAGATGGGTAGATTTGAGAGGAAAGATCATGTAATGAGATCTGTGATGCAGATTACAACTCAACCATGCTTTCCTATCTTGTGAAACTCATTAAAAATGAAAGGCAGAGAGTAGTGTTCTTACTGATGGCCAGCCTCCCTAAGCACAGAGGACACTGAAAGGCATCTATTACAAGCCACAAGACTATTTGAAGTGTAAGGTATGGGTATGCTGGTGGTTGAGGATGGAGGGAATCATCCCAATGGTACTCATGCAGTTGTAAGTGTGAGCATTTGGGTTAGAGTTATGTTATAACAAGAGGGGTCGACATTTGGAGCATAAGGTTCTCACCTGAGAACCTCACTCTCAATCTGAGAACACACAGGAGGCCAATGGACAAAATGGAGAAGTATTAGATGATAAGGGGTGAAGGGGATAGTGTGGCTATGATAAAAACAAAATGTGGGATTCACTATCATGGGGAGTGTGAGATGCAACTCATTCTCCAGTTAGTTGGTCATGTGTCCCCTGGGATCATGCCAAGTCTTTGTGGGGTCACAGGGTACCCACTTTGGAGACCATTGGTCTAATCAATCTGAATTTAAATGCCATCTAAGTTATGTTCCAGCTATGTGAATATGAGAAAGTAACTAACCTCTCCTGTCCTCAGTTTCCTTATTGGGAAAATGAGAGGTTTGGACCAAATAGTCACTAAGGTCCCTTTCAGCTTTAAGGTCTATTTTGCTATGAGAAAAAAATGTAAGAGAGAAGTCAGAATCATGAAATACCATCTAAGTTTAAGGGACATATCACAGCATTACAGATCTAGAGCCAAAAGACCTCAGAGGCCATATAGTCCAATCTCCTCATTTTTATAGATAAGGAAACTGAGACCTAGGAAACATTTATCAGAAGTGGCATTTGAACCTAGATCCTCTGAATACAGAGCTAGTACTTTTCCAGTGTACCATGAAGAGCCACCAAAAGAGCCCAATGAGTAGTCAGAGAAATTGGAGAAGTATACAATGGTAGGAAAAAAGGAGGGAGGAAAAGGTATTAGGAAGGATTGGGCAATTCACTATGTCAAAGTACTGGATGGTCAAGGACAGGAAAAAGGCCCTTGGATCTATGATTTTATTTGGGGTGGTCATTCCCTCCACCACTACAGATTACAATAATTAATGGCTTGGGATTAGTAGAAAGTGTCTTAATGTTGCCTAGGAAAAACTGCCTAGAAGAAAGAGCCTAGAATAGATATCTTGGAAGCTTTGATTGCATGAGGAATACAGAGAAAAGAGGCCAGATAATCATAGGGATCATGAATCAGAGAATGAGGGTCTGGAGTTGGGTGGTGGTTGTCCTTTGCTCTCAGAGAGGACCAAAATGACATCACTATGTTGGGGTCAAAGTACAGTTCTCCATTTGCTATAACAAATGTTTCCACATATGGATGGTGTGATGCTGACTGGTGGAGAACCTGTGTTTTCTTGGTGTTAATTGTTAGGCCAAAATTAGCACAAGCAGCAGAGAATCAATCCATGCTTTGCTGCATCTTAGCTTCAGAGGCTGCATTGAATGTACAATGATCTGTGAACAAAAAATAATGCACTAATTCTCCTTTCACTTTAGTCTTGGCTTGTAGCCTTTTCAAGTTAGACAATTTGCCATCAGTGCAGTAGCTAACTGTTGCCATTTTTGTCCTTGTTGAAGGCATCCAACAGCATCACTGAAAATATCATGCTGAAAAGATTGGAGCAACCACAGAGCACTGTTCACTCCCATTGGTGAAAGGGAAAGTGTGAGCATCATTGACCATCCAGAACCTGGGCAATGGTTCAAATACTGGTGAACTTCTCCAGGCAACCAAATTTTGCCATGATCTTCCACAAACCCTCACAACTGACAGTATCAAAGGCCTTGGTCAGATTGATTAACCATACAGACCTCTGTTCTGCTCCTGGTATTTCTCCTTGAGTTGCTGGGCAGCAAACACTATATTAACTGTTCCTCATCCCTTTCTGAAGCCACATGGGCTCTCAGATAGATGACTCTTTTCCAGGTGAAGGATCAGCTTTAAGGTGTACTGTGGCAAGAATCTTGCTGGCAATGACTAAGAGAAAGACCTCTACCCTTGTGATCACCACAGAACATCCAGGATGAGAAGGCTTCTGTGAGATGAAGAGTGGAGCTCAGAGAGGAAAGTTAAGGTGAAGGAGATGTTCCTTTAGGCTATATTCTATTCTCTGTTAAGAAGCCGCAAAAATGTATATATTAAAAGAAAAAGGAATATGGCAGACATGATGGCCTTTATGTGGCAACTCATTTGGAAATTGAAGTGGCAAAGCTAGATGGGCCTACATGTATTATTGTTTTCTTCCTCATAATAACACTATTAAGGTAATGATTCAAAAGGAATCTCTATTGCAAGATCACCAGTCACATAGTCTGATATGTCTACATAGAATGCTGCTATGGAAGCTAAGAGGCAATGGCTAAGTTGTTGTCTTTCTCTCTCTATAATAAAGCAAGGCCATTTTCCCTCCCTTTCAAGAAAACCAAAGATTTGGACCCAGTTTATATTCCCTTACTGTGATTGTTCATCTTTTCCATACATATTTAATAATATCGCCTCTAGAATGCTGCCCAGGTTTGAGGACTGATTTAAAAGCCATTACTAAATATTGAAAAGTATTTCTTGACAATGAGGGCTTGATTCTTAAGATTTATCAGGGAGAAAATCATCAAGATTTAATTGTTTAAGTCAGCTTCTGTAATTGGTTGATTTAATGCCTATTAATTATGTACACCTTAGAAAACTGAACCTAATTTATAAAATGACATGTGTAGAACCCTTGTATATTTGACTGACTAGTATTTTTGCCTGTTTCATTTTACTTCATATGATCACACACTACTTTTTGTTGAATTGTTGATAGGGCAAACAGCTCTACCCTGAAAGAGAAACTGCCTCAATATCTGTCTCCTTGTTATAAATGGAACTCACAGTGAGAGAGACAATAACAATTGTCTATTTATGTCATTGCAATAATTTTTGCAACCAATTAATATAAAGCCAAAGGGATATATTTATTTCAACTTGGATGAATGGCAAACAATAAAATTTAAATAATTTAAAAATTAAATAGGCTTTGTATATAGAGTCCTGAGATATATTTTATTCCCACTCCATTTAGAAATGAGTAAATCATACTACATATATACACTCCACAGAGAAGTAGTGGTAGATAGAGCAGACCTGAGAGTCAGGAAAATCTAGGTTCAGGCTCTTTTCCTGACACATATAGGCTGCCTGATACACTTAATCTCTCAGTGTACCGTGTTTCTAAGACTATAAATTGCAGAACAATTGCTAATTTGTATTAGTGGAAAGAACTTCCTCACCAGGAATTTTTAATACTGATGAAATCACATTTCCAGACCCCCCCAGAAAAGAGAAAAAGACTAAAACAAAACAGAAAAGGATATAGTGAAATAGGATTCATAAAACTAACATTTCATAATATGCTTTTTATGATCAAGAAATAATAATTTAACAAAACTCTCCATAGCAAAATGATCATATTCCTGTCTCTCATTCCACCAGTGTGTTACACTTCTCACCAAAATCACAAAGAATGCATTTAAAGGGCAGGCAAAGCCTTTTATGGAAAGCAAATCATTGAACATGTTGTACAGAGGCTTGTACTTTGCTGGTGAACAATGAATGTCAATACATTATATTTGGGTGGAATTTTTTTTTAACAAAAATAATGTTAGATTAATTAGGTCTGTAGTTTGAACTGGACTGGATGGGTGCGATTCTTAGCCTATTAACATATGACTTTATTCTTAATGAATTAGTGATAAAGCCAGAGCTGAGACTCAGGTCTCCCAGCCCTTAGTTCTCTCTCTCAATCTCTCTCATCTCTCTCTCTCTCTCTGTCTTTCTTACACACACACACACACACACACACACCACACACACCCCACACACGTACTCACATACACTCTGTTTAGCACCTCAGTACATTTGGAAAATTTAATCACATGAGAAATGAAAAATATTTTAATTTCCTTTTTTTTGAAGAAGCAATCATTTTTAAACACTTTAGCCAAGATTGGTGTCTGTGAAAAAGAATGATTTTCCAGTGATTTCAATTAGTTCCATTTCTGTTCCATCACTAGGGTTTACTTGTTGCTTAGAAGTAAGTCACTCTGAAAGTCTTAATTTCTTAGGTGAGGTCAGAATGAATGAAGGTCCTTTCTTATGTTTTTGAATCATGGATGTTATTAGCTCTACAAAGAGGCTGAATGAACAAAACCCTATTTGATGTAATTTAAAAGGCATTGAAATACCTACCAACATAAAACATCTCTTCCACAAACTTGTCACAGTGCCTGAAACTCTATTGCACCTCACTCTTTTCCTTAGACAAATTCCTCAGGTAAGGCCTCTCAGGAAGGCATTAAAACTTATAAAGGATAATATAATTGCTGGCATATTATCATGTATTTGTTTATCTGATTAACTCATTCACCTAGCAGAGCATAGAAGCCTGAGAGGCTTGAGAAGGTAAGATAGATAAGTTTTGGTGGGAGCAAAAAATCTGTGCACTATTCTTAAGTTAACAAAAAATTAAATTAAATTAAAAGGAGAGGTAAAAGACATAGAAAATAGGGTGATTCCCACCCTAGTGCATTCCCATAATGGAGGTTCCTACCTGAGTATTGAGAAAAGAATGATATTAAAAGGAAGACTGGTAAACCCTAAAGACAAACTGTACCTTCTTCATAATTTTGCCAAGATAAGTCCTGATCAGTGCTATAGCTGTCTCTTATTAGAAAAATGAATAAATAACTTGATTTGTTTTTAAAAAAATGGAAAAATTGATTCCCTTGAGTCATCATTGCATTGAAAACTCATGTCACTTCATTCCCATCCTTGAGCAAAAGAACCTACAATCCTGCAATAAGCCACCTTTCAATAGATCTCTGTTAAATACTTATATTACTCCTACTTTGTCTTCTACTGTCCTGTATTAAAAAAAAAGCACTGAAAATATTGTTATGTCATAGCTGTCTTTACTCTCTTTACCCACTTTCTTCTATCAGTTTAATTCAATTCAATAAACATTTATTACATTGAAAAAGAAGAGCTAATTGTGAAGTAACACTAGGGCTGACCATTCAAACGCTTTGCAGTTTTAAGTGGACAATGGCACCCTTCATTGGAAAAGGGATGGAGAAGTGGGGGATCAAAAGCCCAAATGACAACTGAGGACCAATGAGAAGTAGCCCAGGTTGGTCCATGCAGATGGAAAGTGGGAGAAAAAAGCGGATAGTAAGGAGAAAACAGGAGGAAAAGAAAAGAAAGATCACCAAAGGTGGGAAGACAAGAGAGAGCAAAGAACAAGCTAATATAAAGAGAATTATACAGAAAAGAAGTGGCAAGATGCAAGAGATACTGCCAAACAAAGAAAGGCCCAAGTAAGAAAACATACCAGAAATAAAAGCATGAAACAGCAAGAAAGAGAAGCAAAGGGTGGGAAAGAAAAGAAAAGAAAGTAAAAATAGAAAAGAGGAAATTCTGGGAGAAAGGAAAAGCCATGTTGCAGAAGGCATGAAAACAACAATATAGAGAGCTGAGGGAAGGAGAATTGACATGAAGTCTGGAGAAGTGGGGGAAAACAGAAGGTGGAATACAAAGAGACTCCATGAAAGAAATCATAGCAAGAACAACAGAAAGAAAGAGAAGTGAAAAGACATGACAATAAACACCGCATATAAAGAAAGCCTAGTACAAACAACACTTGTCACACTGAATTAGCAGGATGCCTCCTTAAGATTCCGCAATAACTGAACTCTTTCAGAGTAATTGCTCTCTGAGGGGAGAGGGAAGTAGTGAGGGGAGGCAGATTTTTTTTTTATTCGGTAGAATTTCCTTTTGTTCCCCCTGACCCACAAGCATCAATGAGATTTGCTGTTGAGGGGCCGTGGGATGTTAAGAATATGTTTACTCAAGTCTGCCTGTAAGAAATCCTCCTTGGAAATCCCTTTCAAACTTCACGACTCACTAGATCTCTAGATCGGGCGTTGCTGTAATTCACACATGGTCCTCGTGAGAGAGCCTAGGCACCTGGAAATGTTTACCCCGGAGCTTCTTTAAGGGATGCAGTAGTTCAGAGCTGGGAGGTTTGGACAGCTCCTTATTAAAGTTGGTTTTTAAAGACTTTCTGCGTGTCGTATTTCCCTTTGCGGGTTTCCCTTTGGAGGACATGGCTATGACAACTCTCTATCCCTGCAAACCAACGAACCAACAAACAAACAAAAAACGCCATGCAGATGACCTCTGGGGTCCCTTTCAATTATAAATCTCACCAGGGCAAAGCAGGCGCTGGGCACCCCACCCCGAAGAGTCCAAAGCACCAAAAGTAAGAGGCTTCAGGAAGGGAAAAAGGGGAAAGACTTGCGGGGCTTGGTGACAGGGGATTGGGGTACTACTGCTTGGATCGGAACTCCTTCAATCTGTACTTACGTCGAGGAAGATAGACATTCCCTTCGACAGATGCAGGGCAGAGCTGAGCTCCTCCGAAGAGTTGTTGGAAGAAGGCGATGTTTCCTGGGAATCTTCCATCCTGTGGCACAGCAGCACAACAAGAGCCAGCAAGACCAGGACTGTGAGAGTGCGCTGGTGGGATTTAAGCTTGGGGATGGGGCGGAGGCAACTGTTCACTGTTCACTGCTGCAGCAGCTGCTGTTGCTCCTGGGTATCAGAGTTTCTGCTTGTGCTGAGCTCTGATGACAGCAGTAGCTCACTTTCCAGGTCTCTCTCTCTCTCTCTCTGTCTCTCTCTCTCTCTCTCTGTCTCTCTCTCTCTCTGTCTCTCTCTCTCTCTCTGTCTCTCTCTCTCTCTCTCTCTCTCTCTCTCTCTCTCTCTCTCTCTCTCTCTCTCTCTCTCTCTCTCTCTCTCTCTCTCTCTCTCTCTCTCTCTCTGTCTCTCTCTCCCTCCTTCTCCAGTCTTTCTCCCTTTCTTTGCTGTAGGCGCCTGTGTCAGTTTCACTGACTCGTTTAGCAACGTGATCCTCTCCGGCTCCCAAGTGCGTGACCACTAGCCGAGTTAGCAGAAAAGCCCTATTAGCTAATTCCTTGCCCTCTTTCCAGTCCCTTTTAGTTGTTCAGTTGTTTCAGTAATGTTTAAACCTTCAAGACCCCACTTGGGGAGGGGGGTTCTTGGCAAAGATACTGGAGTGCTTTGCCATTTCCTTCTCCAGCTCCAGCTCATTTTACAGATGAGGAACTGAGGCAAGCAGGGTCTGAGACTTGCATAGGGGCACACAGCTACTAAGTGTCTGAGACCAGATTTGAACTCAAAAAAGATGAGTCTTTGTGATTCTAAGCCCAGTATTCTATCCATTATACCACCTACTTCTCCCCTACCAATAGCTATCTCAGTCAGATAAGGTGTTTGCCCCATACCAGTCTTGGGGAGCAAGGATTTAAAGAATGAGGAATGCAATAGTATCTATGTATTTCATGCATATAATAAAGATGTTTGTAGCAAAACTGATTTAAGTACTAAAAGAAAGTAGAGTGAGATTTGCTAGTACTTTTAAGTTCCTCATTTTTCTTTTTCCCTTCTCCTCCTAAGGTTTGGCCAAAACAGGTAGTAAGTATCAGAGGCAGGATTTGAGCCCAGGTCCTCTAACTCCAGGGCCAATGCTCTTTCCTTTGACCAAGGTGAGACTCATGTGTATTTCATAGTATTACTGGTTTTCTTCTTTAGGAAAACTAGATATAAATGACATGTTACAGCAGACAATTATTTCTATTGCAACAGAGTCGTAATGACCACTTGTCTTATTGTACTATTCAACAGAATATGCATTGGACTAACTGGCATTTGATATCCTTTCCAATTCTAAGGCTCAATGATTCTAGGACTCTCTTTATTTGACTTAGAGAAACCTTCAGGTTGTATTTTTTTCAGAACTGTTTCTAATCATATCTTCCCAAATGCATGAACCAATTTCTCTCTAACTAGCTACCAACTTCCATCCTAGTATGCAAAATTAGTAAGTAGAAGCATTGTACTAGGCACAAAGATGAATTAGGGACATACTTGCCCTTTAGGGGTTCACAATTGAATAAAGAAGATAAGACAGCAAGACAGTGTACATGATGGGTGCTAAAGAAGCACAGAACATCTAAAAAGAATGATAGATCCTCAAGTGATGATAGGATTTAGAGCTGGAAGAGATATCAGAGACCATCTAGTCTAACTTCCTTATTTTACAAAGGAGGAAACTGAAGCTCAAAGAGGGGTGGTGTCCTATCTAACTCTGTCAGTAAGTAGAACCAGGATTCAAACTCAGATCCTATGAATCAAAAGTCAATTCATGCTCTACTATACCAAAGTGAAAGCATATTTGACTGAGATGATCCACATCTGGAGTACTGTGTTGAGTTAAAGGTCCCACAGATTAAAAGGGCAATATTCAACTTGGAGTCTATCAAGAGAAGGGTAACCAGTGTTGGGAGAAGTTGGAAAAATGTAAATTTTTTTGTCATCAAATAATGTTTACAGCTTGGAAAAAAACTTAGGGGGTCATGAAAGGCTCCTTCAAATATTTAAAAGATTCTCAATTGGAAGAGTAAGTAGACGTAGCTGTTTGAGAACATGGAATTAGAATCAATGTATGGAAGTCAGGGCAACCAGGTGACACAACTGATACAGCACTGTGAATTCTTTCTCCCTCTTCAAATTATCTTATATTTATTTTTCTGTAGACTTGTTAAGTCCATCCAACAGAAATGTGAGGTCCTTGGAGTTAAGGACCATTTAGATTTGTTTGTGTGGTCCTAGTGTGTAGCACAATGTTCCTTGCTCAGCAGAGAGGCTTCATGAACCTTTACCAAATTAGATTTGATTAATTCATGAAGGAACTTGAGCTGTGTCTCATAGGATGGGCAGGATTCTGATAGGTAGTTATGGAAAGGAGTGTCAGAGGAGAAGAAGGATATTCAGCAAGAGTAAAGGCATATCATGAAAAAAGATTCACAGGCAAGAAAGGTCAGGGCATGTTCAGGGAATAGCAAATAGTTCACTTTTACTGTAATTTAGTTTACATCTTTTCATGTCACTCTTGCTTAAAACTCTTCAGTGGTTTCCTACTGCTTATCAAACAACATGAAAGTGTCCTGGCCTTTCATTCAAGATCTTTCATGATCTTCTTCTCATGTGTTCTATATCCCAGCCAAATGGCATTCTTTGTACCTTTTCACCTTCCTACCAATGTCCACACTCTTCCCAAACTTTGAATGATTTTTTTAGCCACTTTGCCTCTCCAGCCATTCAATCCCAACTCAAATGCCACTCCTTCCATGAAGCTTTCCATATATTATTATTATGTAGCACAATTATTGTTGTTTAAGTATTATATCCTCCTTCTATTCTGGAAGACAAAAATAGAGTCTTATCTTCCTCAATACCCAGTACAATATTCTGCCTAAAGTAGGCAATTAATAACTATGTTGAATTGAAGTAAAATTAATTAAATTGAATAGTACCACACAAGCAGGTAGGAATCAGACTGCAGAAAGCCTTGATTGCCCCCCATGCATAAGATACATAGGAATGGATATACATTATATACCAGGTCTATGATTTCAATGGCGTGGGAAACTCCCTCTACCAATACATGTTGCATATTCTGTGATTTATACTCTCAGAATTGCTTGGAGCAATTACAGATTATATGACTTGTCCATGGTCACAGGATTATTATAGCATCATAGATTTAGGGCTAGAAGGGTCATGAGGTCCAATCCTCTCATTTTATTGGAATGACTCAGAAAAAGAAACTGAGCTTCAAAGAGGTGAGCTGATAGCTAATGAATGTCTAAGACAAGATTTGAACTCAGATCTTCATTACTCTCAGTGCAATGCTCTGTCTACTACACACTGCTTCCTTTCGTCATCAGGTTGTTGTAGAGGTCATTTGAGATAATGTGCATAACCAGGTTTGCAACCCTTAAAGTGCTATTTAAGCACTCCATGCACTATACTACATCATCTGTGTTTCCAACCCAGCCAGGGAGGGTCAGAGGGAAGTCTTGAGCCTTGGTCTCATTGATTCTAAACCTAGTTCTCCAATTACTGATGCAATGCTGTGCCTCCCCATATGATTTGTATACATCTGTAAGTCTATTCTATATGTGTATACACATATGTATACCTTTACCTATACAAGGTAGGGAGCCCCTAGTCGGCACAGTGGATAGAGTACCCAGGCCCAAATTCAGGAAGGCCTGAGTTAAAATATGGCCTCAAACACTAGCTGTGTGACCCTGGGCAAGTCACTTAACCTTTGTTTACTTCAGCTGCCTCATATGTAAAATGGAAATAATATTTGCAACTACCTTCAAGGTATGTTGTGAGGATTAAATGAGATAATAATTGTAAAACACTTAGCACCATGTCTGGCATATAGTAAGCAAGTTAACTATTATATACACACATTTGTGTATGTGTGTGTGTGCGTGTGTATATATATGTATATATATATACATATATATACATGCACTTGTATATATTTGTATTATATATATATATACAAATTGTGTGCATGTGTATATATATGCTTATATACATATCAGTCAATTTTTTCAGTCATGTCTGACTCTTTATGACCCCATTTGGGGTTTTGTTGGAAAGATACTAGAATGGTTTGCCATTTCCATCTCTAGCTCATTTTACAGATGAGGAAACTGAGGCAACAGGGTTAAGTGGTTTGTTTAGGGTCACATAGCTAGTAAGTGCCTGAAGCCAGATTCGAACTCAGGAAAATGAGTCTTTCTGACTCCAGGCCTAGCACTCAATCCACTGTTTCACCTAGCTGCTATATCTATATACACATGTACACATATACACAAATATACCGCATCTATACTTATATATGTATATACTACAGAGAGATGTGTATATTAGGTAGATGTGTGTGTCTGTATGTGTGTGTATCTCCATGTATATCCACATACCATATGCAGAGGAGCACAATTACATAGTGATTGGAGAACTACGTTTGGAATCAATAAGACAAGGTTCAAGACCTCCCTCTGACACTCTCCGGCTGAGCCAGAAACATAGGTGACGCAGTAAAGTGCTTAAATAGTACTTTACTATTTTAAGGATTACAAGCCAGGTTCTGTACATTATTTTAAATTACCTATGCAACAACTCAATGATGAGAGGCAGCGGGGTATAGAGCACTACCCTCACAGTAAGGAAGATCTGAGTTCAAATCTTTCCTCAGACATTTATTAACTGTATGATGCTGGACAACTCTCTTCAACTCTTTGAGCCTCATCAGTTTCCTTATCTGTAAAAGAAGGTGTTGAACTCAATAGGCATTAAAGTCCTTTCAAATGCTAAATCTGTACATTCACATTTAACCACCAACCTCTGTGTGTGTGTGTGTGTGTGTATACACACATATTTATACCTCTCTTTCATATATTCACTAGATAGATGTGCATGTGTATTCATATATAAACCCCAAAAGAAAAAGAATATGTGCAGTTCCATGTATGTGGATATGTGTATGTATATACAGACATATACAGATTCATATGTACTACTTTTCTTTGCATGTGTATACATACATATATATATGTATAAACAAAATCTCTCTCTCTTCCTCTCTCATTCCCCCTTCCTTCCTCTTTCTCTCTCTCTCTCTCTCTCTCTCTCTCTCTCTCTCTCTCTCTCTCTCTCTCTCTCTCTCTCTCTTTCTCTCTCTCCCTCCCTCCCTCTCTCTGCATCCTCACGTGGCACTTTTTTTTGCTTCGATGTACTAAAAGATTTTCCAACTTTATTGTTTCTAGGAA